ATGAAAAATAATCCAGAAGGTACAAATTACCATTGTTGGGGGAGGAAATCAAACAAAAGGAGATACCAATATGCACACCACCAGGTCTATTACCTCTTTGCTAATGATTTCAACATGGTAGTTTTATATATATTCTATTGCTACTTGACATGGTATTTTGTATATCTTCCTTCCCAAGTATTTTTAACTAGCACAGTGATTACAAAGGGCAGGGAAGTCATTAAAATAGTATCTTCATGACTTTTGAGAATTGGGATAATGCAGAAGAGAATAAGTTCGTCCTCCAAATTCATTATGACTCTAATTAAGGCTTCCATGAATCTTTCAAAAATAAGAAGGGCAATATCATGTTTCTAGAGCTTCCCTTCTCTCTGAATTCAGCAAGTATGGTTTGGCAGGAGCACTGTTTTCTAGAGTAAAACCCCGCTGATCCATCCCGAGAAAGACAGGAAACTGTTTTCGTTAGCTATGTGAGTAAAAATCAGTGAAAAGATGGAAGCCCCTGCCACCATCATGAGCAATGGTGGAGGCCATGGTGATTGGTCCTAGCCAGGGGTATGGTCAGGCCAGACAATGGGCTGTGGGGTAGACAGGTGACAGTGCTTGATGATTCTGACTGGGAGGACTGCAGAGTGCTTCTTAAGTAAGACAACACTCCTCTTGCATGTACATATGGAGACATAAAGAAGAACCAAGTCTTGGCCCCCCTGGTGGCGCAGGGGTTAAAGACACAGCACTATTATCCATTCACCAGCCACTGCACACTAGTTCCATCCCCGACCAGGGAGCTACCCACATGGCGCAGCAGACCTCTCCTATCTCTCCCATTGCTCCCCTCAGCAGTATATTTCAGTAGAAGTGCCTGTTCTGCTCCCCAGTCTGTTTCTGGTGAATCCTCTCACTCTCCCCCCCCAACACCTCTGGCCTACACCCCCAGTTCTTGTATGCATAAATAAATAAATCTTAAAGAAGAAGAAGAACTAAGTCTTGAAGAGAAAGGGTTGAGGGTTCATTCTACTGGGGAGAGGTTCTGAGCAAAGTGAGTTCATTCTCCTACTGGTAATTTTTCGGGGTCTTTGAAGAAGCTAGAGAAAAATTCTGGATAAAGCCAAGTATATACAGGCTTTTCCTTAAGAAGATAACATTCTAGGCCGATGACTGCTTTCACTGTGAAGAGAAGGGGCTGGCCAGAAGCATGCTGCTGTTCACCTCCTCGCTCCACATGCAAGGTGAGCATGCATGGTGCCAGCTTTGCAACTCATGACCCAGCCTTCATGACGGGATTCCCTTTTAACTCTCAGACTTAGGTGAGTGCTGGGCTACACCTTCACCTCACCTTATTGAATATGAGAGGGGAAATAGAAAGAGAAGGTAAAAAGTACGGTCTGATTATTCAGGTTTGGGTTGTTTTGGTGCTTATTATCCATGGCCACCACTTTATGAGATACCAAGAAAATTATATTTATTATGACTACATCAAGACAGATGAAGTAAATTTTAAGCAATTATTTTCCATCCTTAACCAACACATTGATACATACATGGATAAATTAAGCTAATTTCCATTTTATAATCTGGGATGCATCCCTTAGACAAAAATCTTTTTTTTCTCCTAGATCAGTAACATTATCCATTGCAACCACGTCCTTTAAAGTTGTATGTCTATGATTGCAGTGTTCTTGAGTGTAACATTCACTTATAGTTGCACCATTGCAGTATTAAAAGCACTCTGAAATTAACTGATGTGTATCTGTGAGGTTAACTAAGCTTTACAATGCTCTGAAGAACTCAAAAGTATAAAATTTAATTAAATGACATTTTGCAATTTTAAGATTGAACCTTTGCTAAGAAAGACGAGCACAGAAAACCCCATTAAAATTGCAGATTCAGGGCCTCCCTGGTGGCGCAAGGGGTTAAACACAGCACTATGCAGATATCCGCAACCTCTGCAGCATGAGTTTGATCCCCGGCCTGCTAGGGAGCTACCTACATGGTGCAGCAGACCTCTCCTGTCTTGCCCACTGCTCCCCTCAGCAGTGTATTTCGTCAGTCTGCCTGTTCTGTTCCCCACTCTGTCTCTGGTGAATCCTCTCACCCCCCGCACCTCTGGCCTGTACCCCAGTTCTTGTATGCATAAATAAATAAATCTTAAAAAAAATTGCAGATTTAAACACATGTACTTCACCATCACCTGCCTTGTTTTGCCTTTTTTTTTTTTTATCCCAAATTTGGTTCTCTTTCTCTTTTCTTTTCTCTTATTCCCAGTTCCTCTTTGAATTCCACATTCTTTCAGTCTTAAAGACAAATTCAGTGCAAATGCATAGTACATCATGTTTCTAAAAATTCACATTCAATTTCTAAGCACATGCTGTACAATTCGATACATCCCAAGCTGATTCCATCATCCAAAGCCAGAAAAAATCCATTCTCCGCTCAGACTGTAAATGTCATCATCACTAACTTTTCTCTTTCTTACCCTCCTGTCTGTCCAATGAGCAAATCCTGCTGATATAACCTCTTTCAGACCTTACAGTTCTTCCTATTATTCTCTATTCTACCAACTCTGCAATTGTTCATTCTCTCCTTACGAGCAACCACGACTATTTCAACAGTCACCTAATAGTTGTTTTCTTCATCTGCCATACTGGCAGCAGAACTTTTAAACTACTCTTATGCTATCTAAATATTTGTTCAGTTCTTCTGTAGACATTAAGTTTGAGGGAAAAAACCTCGAGTGAAACATACCTAAGAAAACCAATTGAATCCTGCATTTCTCATAATTTTTCCCTCCTGATCTCCATAATCCTTCTCCTCTTCCTCCTGAGTCCAGATGTGCTCTTTCATTGTTATGTCTTGCTTTCCCTTTTCTTGCAACCACCCTAAATTTTGCCTAAACTTTTGGGATATATTTCCCTAGGAACTACGGATTTCTTCCCTGAAGAATTCTCTCAATGTCTTACTTTCCTTCAGTTTCTAGAAAAATGTTTGCTGGAAAAAAAATAGACAAACTTTTTTTTAAAGTTCCTTGATACCATCTCCCCCAAAATCTTATTTGGATTCTACTTACAGTATAAGTCAAGGTGGGGTAGAATAGTCTGTAGTTATTTGATGACAGGCACCAGAAGCCAGCTCTGTAGTTTTTGGGAGACTTTGCTCCTGACTAAATAGGATTAAGGCTGTTTAAAAATATAATTCATTTGGATTTCCTTTTTCTTTCAGACACCTGCTCATAGTGCTTGCTTGTCTAGGTAGAAAACATATGACTTGGTGCAGGGGGAAAAAATTCCCTGATTTTTTTTTAAAGGGTTAGAATTTCTCACTGAAGAACATATCCATACACTAAAACATAATGAACAACCTGATTGCACAACTGCACCCTCTTACTCTCCAGTCAGTGAAACTTTATACCCTTGAAAGCTTATGGAAATGTGCTACTTTGCCTACTCCATGAATCTTGGCTAAGTAAAACCCACAGCATTTTTCAGGCCACGACACAGCGGTGGGCAGGTTCTATGCAGAGAATGCAGCATGCCCAGCCTGACTCAGCAGGATGAAATGGCCACGTGCATAATTGATTCTTCCTCTTTCTTCCGCTTGGGCCATTTTCTGAATTTAGATAAACATTCATACCACCCCCCAACCATCTCTCTGCCTGTGCTATTTTAGGAGTGTGGTGGCTTGTCATTGGAAATCAGGGCTCCAAGAATTTTTTCTCCTGGTATTTATTTTACATTAAAATAGGATTATTGCCTTTGTTTTCTAAGTAATAAGTTTATACAAAGTGTATAGAAAACACCCTTGGGTGTCCAGAGACCACCTTCTGCTCTTCTTCTATATTAAACAGAATTCTGATTTTCCTCAAGTTGTGGCCTCTCTCCTGACAAGCTATGTGTCCCAGCGCAATCTGCCTTCAACTCCAGGGCAGACACAGATCAGATGGGCTTTAGGATTATTCTACTCTGTTTGCTGCCATTGGGTGAGAATTGTCATCTTGAGCACATTTTGGGGGGGCTGACAGAAATTTGCAGAGTAGCAAGTAAGGGATTCCTTCACTTCAGGAAGACAATCACCAGGTGCCTTTCTCTTCCCTTGGGACATCTTTACAAGTGTGTGATATTCCTGAATCATTGTTCTTGTTCTGGGCCTCAGGATAATAGCAAAACCAAAATGGCAAAAAAAAGTCATTAAGTCATCAGTCATCAAGCCATCAATTCCTGTGAGCTTACGGTTCAAATGAGACAATATATTTGCTTCTTCTTCAAAATATTTAGTGAGTAAATGCCTCACAGTTGAAAATACCTTAACTGCTACAAACCTGCACAAAATCAAGTCCTAAAGAAGTATACGTGAGTCCAAGGTAGACTCATGTATTGTCTCAGTGCCTATCTCCACGCTTGACTTGTGCCAAGAGGGGGAAAAAAAAAATCTCTTGAAGACTTTTAAGGTTTAAAGGTTTAAATACCTCTTTTACAGTATGCAAATCCACCCTGCTAACCATGCCCTCAATATCTGGTAACCCACACTATTAAGACCTAATGTTTTAACAGAGAATTCTAATAGAGAGCAGAGCCTTTCCACTCTGAGAATTAAAAGAACAGATGGGAGAGAAGGGCAGATTGCCAGCATTACCTGCTTCTGTTTCACCTGCAGGCAAACTTGGCAGCTACCACATGCTTACATGATTCTTCATCTAAGATGATAAAATGAGCATTTTATATTCCCGTGAACAAACATTATCTTTTTTGGTAGTACATTTGCTCAACAAATCTTGGCTTGAGGCACAAGGTATTATCACAGTTCTAGTGGGAGAAATATTTGTCAGATGTCCTTCTGCAGGCACAGCAATTACAGAACAGGGGTGAAGAGACAGTTGCCCTATCATATGGGAAGAATCATAGAGATTGTGCTAGATAACTATGCCCACAAGATTCTCTCTAATATGGCACTAGATTCAGGAGAAACACAGCATTTCCTGTGTCATGGTAACCAGGGGTGCTCACCAGAACTCAAGTGTTCTTCATTACATCACTTCTGCTTTTGGTCCTTCTGGAAGCTGCATCATGGGAATCTCTCCACCCACAGTGGTTTTCACATCAGTTCTAATGCCCTAAACTAATGTCTTGAAGCTCTTAATGCCTGGAAAAACACTGTTTGGTAGTCTTTCTCTAGGGATGTTATTTGCCTACTCTTCTGTGACATGGTCCTGACTATAACCTTCAACAATAGCTAAAGGTCAGACTGGGTCCCTCAGCCTGCTGAAGTCTGAACTTTCACTAAGGTAGAAGCTCTTTATAGCCTTCTAAATTGGAATCACAAACTTGGGTTCATGTTCTGCCTCTATTCATATAAAACCCCATTCTTTAAGGCTACCCAATAATCATAGGTACGGAGGGGGAAAGTCCTAATGGTCATAACCATATAACCATTGTTCTACATACTATGACATCATCATCAACAACAACGACACGGAATTACTGAACATTTGCAAAACTCTAGGTACTGAACTCCAGGAACTGAACATGGTATTTGACTTTTGCCATTGTTTTCTGTGGTAGATGGTATTATTTTACCCATACTGCAGATGATAAAACTAAGTCACAGTGAAACTAAATATTTTTTTTTCCTGGTTTTATAATGTCTTCCCTGATTTTATAGGAACACAAGGTAAACAAACATTGGTAGATAACTTCAATTCCACACCCTAAAGAGAGTTTTATTTGTGTGCAAAGTCTCAGTAATTGTCAACCAATTGACAAGGAAAGGAAAGGCTGCAACATTGGCAAATTTTAAAATCTGTAAAACATGTAACCTTGGCCTTAGAGAATTCTCAGGGTAACCAAGGAAGCAGAGTATTTAAACAGGAAAGAGTTAATAACAATACTAACTGATGTGTTATAAAGCTAGGTATATTATCATACAAAGTGATTTACAGTTAGATGTCTGTATGTGAAAGGTGCCATACTTCATCTTTGAGTGAATAGGCCCAAGACGAGGCATCCAAACACATTAACTAAAGTGACTCCCTTCTTCAATGTCAGAATAAGCAATGTCTAAGAAATTTGATAAATAATGTCTGAAATAGATTGGCACCAGAAGACCCTGGACATCTCAGCATTCATTTTCTAAGGATGCATTTCCCATATTTTTCAAAAGTGACAGAGATAAACAACAGAAGATAGTTGAATTGGATAGCAGCACAAAATCAAATACATGCCCCATGCCTTAGCTCTACTCTTCTCTCCATTTACCCCCATCTGTGAAATTCATCCCATCCAGTAATAAGTTTAGCCTAATCTTCATTTTGACGTGAACTCAATCTCCTTTGGATGGTCTCATCCTTTTCCTTCTTTAATGGCTCTTATATTTTTATATTTTCTTTTGGTGTTATTTACTTATGTCCCATTACATAAACGGAAACAGTCAATCCTTGTTCTCCCAGCCTCCCTTGCAGCTAGGACTCAGTCATGTGACATGGACACAACCAACAAGATGCCTCAACTCCAGATTTTGAGGTGAGAATTATGACATGAGGAAGCAGAGATTTTAGCAAATCCATTCTGGGGGTGAGGGAGATGGTAGCTGCAGCAACAACATCTATTTCCCAAGGATCATGGTGGAAACACCCACAGGGTTTTACTCAGGGCCTGAATCCAGTAATGTTGGCAGGGCACCCTGCATGTGCTGTGACCAGCAGCTGTGCAAGTGTGTCCTCATGGTACTAGTTTTGTGGTATGATTTGGTTTTAGTACTGGCTGCCCTGGCTGTCACTCCAGATTCCTATTCTGCAGTCTTTCCACTAATTGAAACTTCCCAGTTCCTTTCTAAGAAACTGCTTAACTGCTTATGTTAGCCAGAGGTAGTTTCTGTCACTTTCTACTAGGAACTCTGGTAGATACATTCACTTAAATTACTGTTTCCTTGTTCTGAGCTTGGTAAAGAAGGAAGCTATTAAGTATTACTCTACGTGTGACAACTTCCATAACCACAATCGCTAGTGCTATGCTAATTACCTGTCTCTAATAGAAAATTCCATGAGTTATTTGGATAAGAAGGGGGTATTTGCTGGAATCACTATACCTGTTAATCTATATTACACTTGGTTTGTTTCATGTCTGTGAGTCTCACTTTTTAAAAAAGTTTATTCTATTTATTCTTTTTTAAAAAGTTTATTTCTAGCTTGAGTGATTAACTTCAAGTCATCCAATCTAGCCAGTGAAAAACCAGAATCAGATTGTGGCCTTTTGACCCTGAGAAAGGTACGCTATCAGTCTTTCAAGATTGAAATGAGATTATCAGTCAATCAATGGGTCAGCTAAGTATTTTTTTAAGCCTCTGCAGGGTCCTTAACATTGTCCTAACCTCTGCCACTTGAGATTGAGAGAAAACATTTAACATGGTCACTGCCTACAAATATCTTACTCTTCAAATTATCCCCTATGTAAAGAGCCCAAACAGGACATAAAGTGCGAGAAATGAAGGGGGAAGAAGTTAAAAGTCTTAAAATACCTCATTTCTGTAGAAAAGTAAGGCTAGAGATGACTATCCACAGGTCCTTTTCTTGTGGTGTGTGATTCATAAAGTCTTTAAAGTGGCGGTAGAAGGAGCCCAATCCAAGGAAAATTATTAATTTGGAAGAATCTATTTCTATCATTCTTTCATGATAGTCTCCTATTGTAATTTTCTTGGCCCCCTCTTCCTCCTTCATGCATTCTATTCCCTGCATTCCACCAGATTATGCAAACTCTTTTCTAAGCTTACTTGAAATAAGTGATTAATGATTGATAATGGTTCAATATGCTACCTGTCCTAGCAGAGCCTTCAAGACCTTAAAGAAGAAGACAGATTACATGGAACCATGAGGCATCTTGTTAGCTAATGCAGGGAATAAGTTCGGGACAGAGAATCTTTCATCAGTTTTAAAATTAATACCACTAAGCTTAATGTCAACCGTTTTAGTATTTATATTATTTCATTCCTATGGAAAGATTTATTATGTTACAGGTATATTTCAGTTACCCCTAAGAAAAAATGTGATACCTACACATTAAATACCTAACACATTAAAACAAGATAATGTTGAAATAATAATAATAATAGTTATAATAACAAAACCTAAGGAACAGTATAGTGTGATGGAAAAAAAAAAAAAAAACACCCTGTAGTGGATAGTGAGTTGATTATGGCCCTACCCCAAAAAAATACATCTGCATTTTAACCCTGACCCCCCATGAATGTGGCCTTATATTGCAAAAGAGTCTTTGAGATGCTATGAAGTCAAGATGATTTAGGCAGGCCTAAGTCCAATGACCAGTGTTCTCATAAGAGTCACCCAGTAGAGAGATACCAGCAAAAGAAGAAAATGTCACCAGACACAGAGGCAGATATTGGAGCCATGCAGCCACAAGCCAGTATGGGCGGGAAGAGGCAAGGAGTGGAATGTCTACCAGATCCTACCTGGTAGGATCCTACCTGGTAGTGGAATGTCTACCAGCTCACCTGCCCTCTGTATTTTGAACTTCTCGCCTCAGAGCTGTGTATGAAATTTCTGTTGTTCAAAGCCACCACTCCAGTGTTAACAGCAGCCCTAGGAAAGAAATAGAAAGAATAAGTCTGGAGTTAGCCTCCCAGACTGCTAGTCATTCTACCCTGTGGCCTTGAGTTCCAATACCTCTCTCAGATTCAGGTCTCCTTCATTTTGTATTATTTTTATTGAGGTAGCGTTGGTGTACAACACTGTGTGACTAGGGGATGTAGGTCCACTTCTCTTGAAATGCATGTTACTACATCATGCCCACCAAAGTACCCATCACCCTCTACTTGAATCCATGGGACCCCCTCCCACGGCCTTCTATTTTTAACTACTCAATCCCAAGGTAGGTCTTCCTCAGAGTTAAAGTTCCTACTAGTCATTACAATTCTAATATTCTGCTTATGAGTAATTTTTTTATAGTTTAATGTCTTTTTTTTTTCATAGCTGCCTATGAGGAATTCAAGGCAGACACTTTAGAAATACAGGCATGGAGCACAGAGAAACTTATCTCAATCTTTCTGTGCCTCTCTGCTCTGTCCAGGCAATTTCTTATGCATGGGGATACAGAGTTTAAGTTACTTGGCCCCAGTCATTATTAGCACAGTAGAGACTTTTCACCCCCAACAAGACCTCCTCTTTCTGGTTGACAGAGAGCAACTGAGATTAGAAATGACATATCCTGGCCCTCAATACAGGTATGTATAGCTACATGGCCAAATTTCAGGCAATGGTTATAAGAAGAAGTGAATGTCCCCAGAAGGAGAGTGTCTTTCTTTAGCTTTCTAGGTGCAAGGAACAACGCCAATATAGTTCATGGTCCATGTTGGACCGAAACAATTGTCAATATGGAGAACATGACCAAGAAAGCAACAAGACGACCCAGAAGCACTCACACTGTGTGGTGGAACATTAGTCTTAAACATGTTACCTCCAAATTCTCAGCTGATAGTTATTTTCTATCTTAATTGTGTCACTGTTGCTTAATGTTTTTATGCTGTTTATAGCCAAATAGGGTAACTGATGGCAAATGCAAGTTGACTTTCTGCGTCTTATTTGAATATACTTTCTCCCCCACCCAATAGTATACCTACTAAAGTACACATACTTATGTACTTTGAGTACACAGTCCTCTTCCTGTTCCCCATTAGCATGGCTCCCTTTTTTCTGTGTTTCTGTGTCCTTGAACACTCTCTCTTATGTCTGCAATCAAACTTGGCAGCTATTCTGCAAGGTTATCAGGGACTGAGATATAGACTATGCTTTCAACAAACCCATCTGGGTCTTTGGCCTCTGTCCTATGAATGGACTCAGGGTCAGCCTTCTGCTTTCTTGTGGTGATGAAGGTATCATAGGCCACTGGATTCCCTTAAGGGCTCATGTAAGAAGGTCATGGAGCTGATAGGGAGTCTCATACACCATTGTTTTTGTTACCAATTTAGTGACTAGATATTATGCTGGGAAAGAAATAAATTATTGTTCAACCTTAAGACTTTGTCTACTTTTTTGTATCTCTGTTTCAAAAAGAAGAAAGAAGACATAATTTTTTTTAACAATTTATTTATTTATTTATACAAGCACTGGGTACAGTCGGAAGCACAGGAGGGTGAGAGAATTCACCAGAGCCAGAGCGGGGAACAGAACAGGCAGACTGACGAAATACACTGCTGAGGGGAGCAGCGGGCAGCAGGAGAGGTCTGTTGCGCCATGTGGGACCCTCGCGGGGTGGCCGGGGATCAAACCAGTGCTGCAGAGGCTGCAGGCAGCTTCACAACCCAGCACTCAACCGCTGCGCCACCAGGAGGCCCGAAAGGAGACATAATTTTGTGACAAAATATTTTTAAAAGTTGTGCATGTGAATAATTAGTTTTGATTCTA